TCGAATAATAAAAGATAAAAGTAAGAACGCATCAAAAACATTCTTCTTTGGATATTAACCGTCTAGTTCAATAATCAACCTCACACGTTTTCACTATGACTGCTTTGAGAAAAAGATGTTTGACTGGGCAAGAAACTAAAAAAATTATGAGTAATTCTCAGTTCGACTGATCATCAGAAGATGAACTCCTCTCGACTCTAAGTTGGATATCCATTAACTCTAGTGATGAAGAGCGTTCAGAAGAACGTCATTGGCAGTGTGTAACATTTACACCATTGATACCGCAGTTCAATGGTGAACCTGATGTACGAGAAACGATTCCAGTTGTTGGAAGAACACCGCTTGATTATTTTCAACTCTTTTTTGATGAGAATATGATGCAGCATATAGTTGACGAAACGAATCATTACTATTCCCAGAATCCCATAGATGGGCGTCAGGATATATCTAATTGGCCAGACGTAACCTATATGGAAATATATACATTTCTTGCAATTACAATGCTTACTGGCCTAATCAACAAAAATAGGATTCAAGACTATTGAAGCACTGATCCCTTATTATCTACATACATTTTCTGTCAGTATTTTGCAAGGAATGGATATTAAGATATTCCACACCACCTGCACTTTACAAATAACGAGAACATTTTCGGCAACAATCTTCTCGAGAAAATCAAGTCAATCATAGATGACTTCATGAGAAATTTTTTAAACTGTGTCAATCCAACACAGAATTATTGTATTGATGAAAGTCTCATGCTATGAAAAGAAAGATCTGGATTCAAACAATCTATTCCATCTAAGCGTCATCAATTTGGAATCAAATCGTTTCAGTTCGTTGATTGTGAAACTAAATTTACCCTTGACTTCATCGTTTACACATGATCAAATACAGAGTATCAAACTACACCTCGACTTGGACTGAGTGGATCAATTGTAACGGAAATAATGTAGCCCTATTTGAATAAAAGGCACTATTTATATGTTGACAACTGGTATATGAGTCTAGCGCTTTTTGAGTTCTTATATCGAAATAAAACTAGTGCATGTGGTACTGTTCGTAAAAATAGACAAGGACTACCACATCTTACAACTAAATTGAAAAGAGGCGAGAGTTAATATTCTCATACAAGTATTTTACTTGCATTCAGATGGTAGGAAAAACAAGAAGTTCACATGCTTTCAATCATCCATTCAACGGCAAATGCGAATTCAGACATAATAGATAGGCGAACTGAAGAAGAGATTCGAAAACCTGTCTGTATGGATGACTACACTAAAAACATGAGTGGAGTCGACCATGTTGACATGCAGATGCCATTTTCAGAATGTAAGAGAAAATCGGTAAAATGGTACAAGAAGCTTTTTTTTCATCTTTTGGATATGGCAGTATAACATGCATTTATAATTTATAAAATTCACAATGATACTTCGCTCACTTAACTGATTTTCGGCTTGATATCATCAGAGAGGTTTTGACAAAGTTCGGATCACAAAGACCAACTACTATTGAAAGATCATTGACAAAAACTTTTCTTCTGCGTTTAACTGCTCGACATTTTCCTTCGCTTATTCCTCAAATATCACAACTGAAACAGTCTCAACGAAAATGCGTGGTTTGCTTATTCTATAATCTTCGATGCGAGACACGATATATGTGTCCTGACTGCCATATACCTCTATGTATTGTTGATTGCTTCAAAGACTATCATATAAAGGTGAACTATTAATGGTTTTTTTCTAACATAGAAATGTAATTTCTTTGTTAAAAATAAAAATCATATTTAAACATTACTTTCAAAGACTTTGATTTTCGCAAAAAAAGTCGGAAGCCAAAGGATTAATAAGTACTCAACGAATACTAGTTGGTTATGCATCAATTGAACCATCTTGTTGGTGGCTTAATAATGGATTTTCAGTTTCACGTTATAAAACACTTGTTCAACAACAAAAATTGATATTTATAGAATGTTACATCATATTAATTCATCTGTAATTATTTAAAAAGAAAACGGATGAAAAAACATAATTTTTTTGGTTTAATTTAATACTAATAAATGAATATACAGAATTTATACAAGAATCGCAAAAGATTTCGAAAAAATAAATGCTCGAAGATACTTTCAAGTTTATTCTCGAAAATTCATTAATGCTTTTCGCGTTTTCTTCATTGCGATCGAAATAAATATAAAAGAAATTGTTAAGATAAATTAATCAAATAATTGTTTGTTTTTTCGAAAAAATTGAAACTATTTCTAGATTTTTTTTTACTTAATTAATTGATTGATAATTGTTTATCAAAAATATTTTATTTATATTTTGAAAAAATTACGTGAATATGACAGTTTACAATTGCATTATACTAATTATCTTATACATATTTATAGAAAATAAAATAATTAAATTGTTTCTCGAGAATAAATAAAGATTTACTTTTAAAACTCAATTTCAGGCTGATTCGTTTTGCAACTTGTCGCTCTACGAAGCCATTAAAACTTTTTTCAAGCAAAAACAGTTCCAAGAATGAGTATAAATAGTTAATCATTGAATTCTAATTTCTTCTTTTTTGTATAAACATTCTATTTTGTTGAAAATGAAATCGAATTTCTGAAATTTCAATTAATATGTCATTGAATGCAAAAATAAATCAATGTCAATTTCATTTTGAATATGATTTCTTATTAAATATATATTGTTGATTTAATGCCATTTGATCATTGTAGTTGATCATTTGAGTTATTATCAATCATTTATATTCTATGTTAAGAAAAAAAAGACTTCATTTGAGAAAAGTCAACGAATTGACAGAGAAATGAATTTTCTATCGAATCAGTTTACTAAGGAGAATATCGATTAGTTCTAAGGAAGCACGAAAATCTCGAGCAAATTTTGTTAAATCATTTGAAAAATATTGTGCTTCATCATGATATGTCTTCGGTCAAATTCAAACTTAACTAGCACTAAACTTCTCAAATATACGACAATTATCTTCGAACTAAATATTATTAAATCAGGCAAAGTACTGTGTTCTTTCAACTAACGTTCACATTGATGCATTCATCTGCTGTCGTCAGTGTTTGTTTGAGCAAGAATGACACATAAAAAACTGCGGTTAACAAAATATTTTAGTTTGAGGAACTGTCAACCTTCGGCAGACCTAAAGTGAATTTTCTATAAGAGGAGACGTCTACCACAATGATTCTCTTATTGGTTTTATTATAAAGAAATAATTTCTTTAAAAAGATAAATCACTTTTACTTTTTCTTTTTCGTAATTTTTATTTAACATAACTAAAATATTTCTCCATTCTTATAATAATACTACTATCTATACGAAGATAAAATGAGATACGAAGTTCGACGTAAGTTGAAAACTACAATCAATTGAAAGTTCCTCAGAGTCGATTAGAATTAGTCGAGAAAGTAAGCTCGAAATTTCATAGATGTAACAATTTTTTGTTTAAACCCAATCTATAAAAATCGGTAAAAACAAGAAAAATAGATAAGCTTCAGTCACCTCAAACTTAAGAAGAAGAAAAAAACTGTTGAAAGTCGAGTAATTTGAAAAATTTAGGTGAACCGAACGGGTACACTACAGTGTCAAACTTAAAACTCGAAATCTCATGTTGAAGTACTCTTGAATTATTCAAGTATTCGACTATTCAGTTGAACAAGAGAAATCCTTTGTATGTTCATGTCTTGTCGTGGCGTCTTCAATCAGAAAATAATGCTTGAATAAGCAAATACTTGAAAGACAACTATCCAAGTATTTCAATAATTGAATTCAATATGGAATATTGACACATTATCATCTATCTATAGTAGAATAATATAAAATGATATGTGTCAACGGTCAAATTCTGTCTTTTATCAAAATTCTTCAACATATTGTTTACTTTTACATAAGAAAAATTATTTGAATTTAAGATATTAATAGAAAATTTTATTCTAAGTTGTTAAATTATAGAACGGAAAATAAATAAATATTTTGTTTATTATTCTGTTAGTTATCATTTTTCTATAGAGATATATTATCATTATATATATAACGTCGACCTTTCTTTAGAATAATAGCCGAAGAAGAATATGTTATGTGATTTATTCTCGAAGATTAGTCACACATAAACGTGGCTACTATGACAGAACGATTAAAGAAACATAAAATAAGTCATTAAATAACTATTAGTTTACTTTACTTGTAAGACGAGTATTTTAGTTGCTATTTAATTTATAAATATTTTTCAATAAGACAAATTTTTTTTGTTGTACTTTAATTAAATTTGTTTGATGATTGATGTGAACAAATTTCAAATCATGTTATAAAAGAAAATATAAAAAATATATAATCTATTAGGTGGGTTTTATTCTTCGACAGATAAACATCGTTTGTTTTTCGAGAGAAAACACTAGAAGTGTCAATTTCCTTGTCTCCATAGTCGATAGAACACAAGAAATATAATTAAAATTCTAGCGAAAATATATAAGCGTCAGTAGATCTATTTTGATCTACATTGACACTATTAACAAAGACAATGTGAATAGATCTTTATTTTGAAAAGTAAATATTTTTTGTTTTTGTTTTTGTTTTTGTTTTTAAGAAATAAAATTTGAATAAAACCTTCTAGAATAAAACAATTAAATATCAAGAATTCCGATTAGATTTTGTAATTATTTTCAAATATCTTGTTTAACATTGTTTTTTCTTTTATTAATATATATTTCATGTTAGAAAGAAAAAACATTTCTCATAAATAATTAATATTTATTATTAATAAATAATCTATATAGAATAATGAAAGAATTCTTATTGGATAATACAGTAATTGATGAAATTAATATAATCAAAGAAGATTTTAGTCAGGTTTTATCTATTTTATTTTAATATAATAAATAAATGAAAAAAATTTGTTTTTGTTTTTGTTTTTGTTTTTGAGAAAGAAAGATATTGATGAGTCTCAGTTGAATATAAGAATATATTTAATTAATGAATAACTTTAGAATGTGTTTATCATCATATTGTAAAACAATTCATCATATATATTTTAATTATCATTTTGGTGAATCAACATCTCGATGGATAAATTCAAAATTTACTCGTCATTTTCAATTTGCATTACGTATGTTTATTGGATTTTGTCTTTCTGCTTTTATTGCTTATGGAACAAGATTAAGAGATCGTCTTACACTTAAATTTATGATACCTGGAATGACAATATTATCAATAAAAGAAACATTTGCAGTTATATGATCTTCAGATAAATAAGCTTGAATAATTAAATGATACATTTTTTGAAGATGAGATAAACAATAATTAACACGATTTTCAATATCAAATGTTACAAATAATGGAAATATAAATAAAGAAATAATAATTGATAAAAATATTCCAATTATAAATTCTTCAAGTAATTCAAATGAAAAATATTTTCGAATTTTATTTTGATTAACAATTGTTACAAAATAAAGTGAATTAAATAATAAACTTAATTTTCTTGTTGGACTTTTTCGACATTTATATGATATTATTAATGATGATAATAAATAATAAAATTCATTTAATAAATATCATTATGATTGTGTTAAGCAATTAAAAACAAGTTTATTAAATTTAAGTACATGTCAATCATTATTTATTTCATCTTTAATTCCTCATTCATCTATAACTCGTCATGAATTATTGAATAATTTGACAAATCTTCAATTAAGTTATGATAGAGTTCGTTCATCATATATTGAAACTCGTCTTAATTTAATAAAAGATAGATTTCAATCATCAAAAATAATTCAATCTGAAGATCATTTATCACATTCTTTTTTTCTTTTTCAATTATGTTCAATTGTTCGATTATTAACTAAATCAACATTAATTAATAGAGATAATAAAATAAATAAACGAAAATCATTTAAAAATTGTTTCAAAGGAGATTGGTCGAGATTTGTAACAGCATTAAAAACAACAATTATTATTGGAATTGGTTCAATATTTGTTATGATTCCTAATTTAGCAAAAAAATTTGAAAATGGTCAATGGATTTTAATTGCACTTTGTATGACACAAGGAGATACAGTTGGTGGCGCTTTTACAACTATTAAAATGAGATTAATTGGAACTTTATTTGGTAAAATTTTTATTTTTATTATTTAAATATTATTAATTTATTGTTTATTTTTCTATTAAAAATTCAAGGTGCTATGTGGGCATATATTACATATTTATCAGCTGGAAATGATATATTTAAAACAATAATAATGCTTTCTCCATGGATGTTTTTTTGTGGTTATATGAAATTATATCCTCAATGGGGTTATACT